CCCTGCAGGAGGAAGCTTACTTGCCTGGGGGTACTGGCTCCCCTGGGCTAGAAGCCATGGGGCCGAGAGGTCTTGATAGGGTGAGGTGAGAAGTAAGCTCTTATACCTGCATAGAATTTGGCTCTTCTGCTTAAGCAGTACAGAGTTATAGGTGGCTTTGTGTTACCTGGAGACCTTTATTTACTTAATATTAAGCTTTAAAATTATCAAGACAGTCAAAGGTTTCTCCAAATATGAAAGCGTTTCTCAGTTTCCTCCTCTCTTTCTTTGAAGTTAACACATCTCTGAGTGTCTCTGTTGCTTAAGAAAAGCTTAGGCTGCCAGCACAGCTCAGGGAAATGAGTGTCAGAGCTATCTTTCTTCTCCCCACCACCAGTTCCCTCTTCACTTTGTATTTATAGTTTCTGATGTTACAGTGTTGCTTCCTTACTTGTCAATAATATAAACAGATAGTATTTTAATTATGTTGAGTTATATCCTTCCAAAATTCAAACAAACAATTTATAAGAAACTTACAGAATATTGCCTTTCTGTAAGGTGAACCCCCTCTACCCTGAGATTGTTGTAATTCTTTCAGAACCAAGAATTCATAGAACCCATGTGGAAAAATATACCATGGAGCAAGTCAGTCTCATTAACTGAATTACAGAAGTTGTAGTAGATGCTAACATTGAAGAACTTACTGTGTGCCAAGTACTGTGCAAAGAGTTCATGTACATTAGCTCACTAAATTGTTAACGCAACCCAATGTAGAAAGCATTATAATATCTCCCATATTTTTAGCTGAGAAGATAGTACCAGCAAAATACTGGTCAAATACACATTTCTGGAGCCTCTTAGTACAGGGCACTGTGCTAGGTTCTAAGGTTCTAAAGAGACCAAGGCATGGTCCTTGCCCTTAAGACACTTGAGCTCCTAGTAATAGTACACAGTGGCAAATGAGGATCCAGATAAGCGCATCAGTGCACGTGCTTTAAGCATTCACAGAGGGTTAAGACCACTCTTGGCCGTGGTACTTGAAGACTCTTCTTAGAACCCTTGGCATTTGAGTTGGACATTGAAGGGAGTTGAGATAAAATAGTCCATGGGAAAAGGTTGTGTATTTGAGGCAGAAGAAATATTTTTGGCAATTTTGTGAAACAATAGTTTGAGTATCTGTGTTGAGTAGAAAGGTTAAATTCAGTGCCCAGAGGAATAGTGCTGTGGACAGTGGTATAGAGCAGGTGTCCAAGCGCAGTTCTTTCCCCACAGATACCAGGCTGGTATCAGTGGACTATAGGCGCTAAAGTTAGAAAGTTTAGAGCCTAACATGTTAACATTATGATCCAGTACTAAAAAATACCTCACACATTTTGAGCAGTTACTACATATCAGATCTTATTTTATTATGCATATATATATATATAATTTCATTTAATCCTTGTAACAACCCTATGAGGTAATTTACAGACACAGGAACTAAGCAAGCCACGGAGAGATAGAGTGACTTGGTAAGATGCAGAGCCAACTTCAGAGCCCAGGCAGGCTGCTCCCACAGCCCTCCAGGCTCTGCACTGCAGTGAATCTAGTATGCTTCACTTAGGAAAATTGCTGTCGGTGGTACCATCATTGTTTCAAAACTTACTATGAATACTGAACATTACTATCCCACAAACACATGTGGGACACACATGCACACACTCTTACTACAGGTTGTCAAGAGGTAGGAAGAAAAGCAAAGGCAGTTAGTTTCTTACCACCACTACTACTACTAAACTTTTCTTAACATTTTGACACCAATTTGTGAAAGTCCATGACTATATTTGCTCAATAAACATCAGGGACCACCTGTAAGAGAAAGGCTGGGACATATGAATACACCATTCATAGGTTTAAGATGAAATGTGAGACTGGTGTCCACTGACTGAGTAGGAAGATAGTAGGTGCTCCGTGGGGAAGGGAGATTGGCCAGGGCTGTGGTGAATGGTGACGTTGATGCAGACCAAAAACCCTGGTTCAGAAGGGTTTTGGCAGAAGGTGGAAGCAGAAATAGTGATTGCAGAGGAGCTCTGAAAGTAAATGAAATGTGAGTATAAGTCCAGATTAGGCTAATTGGCATGACAAGTGACAGGAGGTAAAGCCATCTTATCTTCTCCATCATGAGGGAAAGTGGGAGAAGAGTAGATGGCATTGAGGTAAGGCAGCTGGAACAAGAGTTGTGGTTGTGGTTGGCAGGTAGAATTGATGGGCTCTCGAGTTTGCAGATGGAGGGTGCTCTAAAATATTAAACTTAGTTTGCACTGTCTAGTCAAGGAAAAGTCATCTCTTGTGAAGTAGGATAGTAGTGATTAATGCTAAATAGACAAAAGATTGCATGATTTTTAATGCAAGTGAATTAACAGGTAAGACTTATTACCATCTTAGGAGATGTATCATGCTCAGTTTATCAGTGAAAGAGTGGGTCTTCTTTTTGTATGCTTGATCAGACAGTCCACATTTGGCATGTAAATTCCCACTACCATGCAAGTGGTCAACCAAACCCCTCTCAAATGGTGACTGTATTACCTCCTGACAGCTCTGTCACAAAGCTTTTCCCTGTGGCTTCTGAACACTGGGCCACTTCTCTCCTTTGGATCCAAGCAGGTCTGGCCTAGTCTTTCTTAAGATACAGCTCCACTGAAGATCCCTTCCACGAGCCTTTTATTTGTACCTCTTCTACCCCCATATAAATAATAGACAGTATTCTGGAAGGGTTCCCTCCAGTTTTGAATCTAAGCCTGTTCATGGAGGCATTTTCATTTTTTATAATATAGCTCTTCTTAAATGCTGGTTACTTTACAAGACAGCTATGAAACCAGTTTATGAAACCAATTTGTGTGTTTTTTTTTTTAATTTTTTGTTGATTGATTGATTGATTGAAACAGGGTCTCGCCCTGTCACCCAGGCTAGAGTGCAGTGGCGCCATCATAGCTCACTGTAACCTGGAACTCCTGGGCTTAAGCGATCTTCCTGCCTCACCCTCCTGAATACCTGGGACTATAGGCACACACCACTCCACCCCCCTAAATTTTTTTGTTTAATTTTTTGTAGACACCAGATCTCGCTATGTTGCCCAGGCTGGTCTCGAACTCCTGGCCCCAAGTGATCCTCCTGCCTTGGCCTCCCAAAGTGCTGGGACTATAGGCGTGAGCCATGGTGGCCTGCCTAATGAGACCAGTTTGAAACCTGGTCCTTACCCTAAAATAAATCACAGAGTAATGGAGACTGACAAGCATTTACAGCAGACTTAAAGAATCATTTTTTTTTTCTTCACAAGCCTATGAGCTTGATAAGGAATCATTTTTAGAAAGTGAATACAACCTAATCAGTTCAGTGGAAAGGATAAACACTGTGGGATAAAGTGGGGGAGTTACTTCATGTCTTTATTATTACTATTGAGGTAAAATTTAAATAAAGTGAAATGCACAGCTTAAATGTACAGTTTGAGATTCTGACAAATGTAAGCACCTTATAATCCATACCTTAGTCTAGAATATTTGCTATCCAGAAAATTCCTTTTGCTCCTTTCCAGTCAATTCCCACTCCCATAGACTCTGTTCTCATTCTTGTCATCAGATTGATTTTGTCTGTCTGCATGATAGAGTTCTATAAAGAATCAAAGTCCTCATCAAAAGTCTCTCACTGAAGATAACATAGTATGCAAGAAACCGACATTCAGAGACTTCGCACCCACACACTGTGTGCCCTGCAGCACCAACTTCTCGGCACCGTGAACAGGGTTCCATGAAGTGATCCCCACAGTCCTTGCAGATGTAACTCTCTACCTCCATGTCTACTCTCTACGCAGTACCCTGAGCCGAAACCCGGATTTGCTCCTCAGTCTCCCGCATCCAGTTGATCAGTAGTATCACATGAGTTCTTTCTCGTAACTTTTTTGGACATGTCCCTTCTTTTGGCCCCTACCTCCTCTTCATTTCTTGCCTACTATATTATAGTAACCATCAAATTACTCTCCCTACCTCTTCTGCCTCTGGTCCTCTCCAAACTGTTCTTGTCACTGCCACCAGGGTAATCTTTGCTAAAATGAAATAGTTGGGTCCCTTCTGTTTAAAATCCTTAAGTGGTTCTCCACCATTTAAGATGTGTCTCTACCACCCACAGAACTGAGTTTGAATTCTAAAGCGTGACAGCATGAGGGCCTGTACCACATGCCTCCAGCCCACTTTCAGTGCCCCCATCCCCACTGTGCTCTTTGCTGCAACATTCCCTCTGCCACCACCCCCTCCCGCCCCTCCTTTACTAGCCCCTTCTGTTTCCCCAGTGGGTCTATTATATTTAGAGCATTGTGCATGCCTATCTCCCTGATTGTGTTGGGAACATCTTGTGTGAGGTTAGGGACCGTGTTTTACATGACTCTTTCTCCAGCATCTGGCATGTGACTGCTGAAAACACAACCTCCAAGTTAAATTACCAAGGATGATGGTATACCAGGTCAGGCTCTCACTTCCAGTTCAAGTTGATATGTTTTTAAAAATAAAAAAAAAAAATCCTGTACACTGAAGTCTGATTCTGAATTTTTCTTTCCAGTAGCTATCATAGTAACACTGAGTTAAAGGTGAGGAAGTTTGTGTTTTTATTTGGAGAGATGGGTATATTAATAGGAGGTATCAAAGTAGTGAATTCTGTTGGTGTTAAAGGGGCTAGTCCTGTACTCTTTAATTCTCATTTCAAATTTGACTTAACCATTTAGTTCTGGAATGGCAGATTACTGTTTCTGTGAATGAAGATAATTTTTTCTAAATGTCTTGTGGTAATTAGCGAGCAGGAAATAAAACTAAAAATAACTGGTAAATATTAACCCAAGTGCCCAGGAACACCAGTATTTATAGCCCTTGTTTGTTCATCATGGTTCACTCTGTCCTGGTTTTTCGGTGTTTTTGGTTCTGCCTTGCAGCGTGAATCAACATTACCACCCAAATTGATCATCACTCAATCTATATTTTCATCTTTCCAAAACCTAGGTAAGAACCTTGATGCTGTCCATGACATCACTGTGGCATATCCCCACAACATTCCTCAGTCAGAGAAGCACCTACTCCAGGGAGACTTCCCCATGGAAATCCACTTTCATGTGCACCGATATCCAATAGACACCCTCCCCACATCCAAGGAGGACCTTCAGCTCTGGTGCCACAAGCGGTGGGAAGAGAAAGAGGAGAGGCTGCGTTCCTTCTATCAAGGGGAGAAGAATTTTTACTTTACTGGCCAGAGTGTGGTTCCACCTTGCAAGTCAGAGCTCAGGGTCTTTGTGGTCAAATTGCTCTCTATACTGTACTGGACCCTTTTCAGCCCTGCAATGTGCCTACTCATATATTTGTATAGTCTTGTTCGATGGTATTTTATAATCACCATTGTAATCTTCGTGCTGCAGGAAAGAATATTTGGTGGACTGGAAATCATAGAACTTGCATGTTACCGTTTTTTACACAAACAGCCATATTTAAATTCAAAGAAAAATAAGTAAGGTTATAAGGTTCACAATGTAAGAACCTAGGGGATATTTTGGAAATGTTCTAAGCCTTTGTAAACTGAGATGCATTTTTGCATGACTATGTCAAATATTTCTTACTACCATCATTATTTGTTAAAGATATTTTACACTTAATTTTGTGGGAAAAATATTGCTACACACAATTTTTTTTTAAATCTGTGAACGTAATTTTGATATTGTGTATGTAGCAGGGAGCGATTGTTATGAATATGAATATTCGGGCCAGAATATTATTAAACAATCATCAGGCTGTCAGCAGACAGGGAACACATAAGGTTTTCTTAGAGGCCCAATCCTATTTTCTAACAGACTCCCTAGACCACAGGCAGATCTGGAATTCATGAGCACTGGCTCAAACCATGTGCTGTTACTTGACTGCCCAGGTCACCTTATCAAGGTGGGCACTGTTCCTGCAGGTGCCCAGGCAGGTGGTGCCCAGGCTCCTTCGCTTGGTGCCCTGCTTCCTATGCCAATCAGACCATCTCGTCCTTCCTTAAGATCAGAACCTGGAGCTCCCTTGTTCTTTAGCTGATCAGTTTGATAGGAAGCCCTTCATTATTCATAGAATCTTGTGCTAACCAAGATGTCAGAAGACCACCTGTGCCCTTTTATCTTGTGGAAGACAAGACCTGGACGTGTCTCAGGGAGCAACCCCAGACTCTCCACTTTGAAACTTTGATTTGAGTTTTAAAAGATAGGAATTAATATAGTTCAAGTTCTTCACTCATACTCAGGCTTGCATGCTTAGTGCTGGTTTTCTTACAACTTGGTGGCAGATGTAGCTTTTCTGCATTAAAAATAAAAATGGTATAACATGAAGTCACTCCTTCTTTTTAAAGGAACGCTTAGAAGAACATTGTGTTATTGCAGCCATATTTTTTTTTATAACTTACCAAAAAAGGAAGGTTGTGTTTTCTACATGTGCATGGATATCTAACATCTGCCATTAAAACAACAGAAATACTTGCAAGTAATGTTTTATCCTAAATTATTCAACCCCGTAGGCTTGACAAATTTTGCTCTTAAAACCAAAATGAAAACACAAAAATAAATCATTTTTAATGATAGCAAGGGATCTCTTTTAGTCATAGTCTTCCTCTTTCAATAATAATATTTAAACCCACTTTTGATCGATTGCCTAAATATTCCTGTCATTTGGAGTCAGTGGAAAATCCAGCAAACTAACAACACTGATCTCTTTCTGATGCAAAAGAAACATGTCATTTTTGTTTTCACTCTATTGGAGCCTTGTGCTCCTTTTTTTGTCATGTAGTAGGGATGCTGGTCAGAGCTGCAGAAAATATGAGGCAATTAAAAGTCTTAAGCTGTTAGCAAATCTGTCAGTTTTACTTCTGCATTGAACCAGTCTCAAAAGCTACTTACTGCATGATGTACTCTGTGGGCATGAATGCCTTCTCTTTAATTACATCTCATTTTTGCTTGACAGTGACCTACCCAATAATTGAATCCTGCATTGCCATGAAAGGTAAACACATCGTGAGCTGAACTTTCTGAGCAGATTCTTTGAGAAAGTGCTTGTTGAGGCTGAACACTGTTGACACATCGTTTTTATTGGAAGAGCATTAACTGGTGGTGCCTCTGCTGACACGGACCAACCCGTGTTTAACTGCTCCCCCAAAGCTGTTTCTAATCCTTCTGGGAGCTACTAATTAGTATTATGCACATCTGCTCCAAACCTAGCTGTTTAACTT